AATAACTATTATCTTCCTTTGTTTCTATATTTAAACATTAATTACAGTTAGAATTAGGTTAGTGAAAGCTGCACACAAAGCACTCTCATTTAAAAGAATTTATCTCTGGGCCAAACTTCTACAAGAGATAAGATGGTCCATGTTTGAGACAGCGAATATGACAAAAGAGTTTTTGCATGAAGCAGGACTTACAGAAAAATAATACATGAGTGGATGTGTCCATCTGATATTTTGACAGACCCTACCCACCAGTTTCCAGTCTCACATGGCAGCTTCCAAGGCATCCACACACATTCTTCTTAATGTCTGCAACTTCCCTCATTTAAATATTGGACATTTTATTTTCTAATTCCAGTAAAAAACCTGGGAATATGCAGAGCAACTCTTCTGACCTTTGACAGGTCTACACAACCAGAAGGTGAATTCATCAGCAGGGTCAGATCCCTCAACAAACATTACAGTACAGGTACTTCAAAAAAGTGCAAACTGAGGACAAAACAGTACTGCATCTGCTTACCCCTTATATTAGAACCCCCAGAGTGGAACTGGGAGACCTGAATTTGGTGCCCTCTGTAGCTCAAACCACGTATCTTATGTCTCCAAAGAATGGCATCACCTCCAATCGGGCCCACTCAGCTCAACCGAAGGAAAATGAGGGAGCATGCAGCTCTCTAATGGTTACTTAGGTGGAAGAAGAAATGTCTATATCTGGTTTCTGTACTCTGCACTGAGGCTACTTTCTGTTTTTAATTTTAATACAAATGGCCTCTGCATTACGAATGATGTCTTCTACACAGTGTAAAATACTCAACAGAAAGGACAAATGTAAACCCATACTAAACCACTATAACCTCATGATGAAGGTATTTCTACTGAGAGTTTGAATGCTTCACAGACTTCCTCTGCAACCATTTGGTATGTTCTCTAGTCTTACCTAGAGAAAGTCTCAAAACATTAGGAATGTAGTTTCTTGGTTCCCATAGTCATACCCATTCCCAAACTCCAGGCACGTGTGGCACAGGCTACATCCCAGCACTGGTGCCAGCAGTGTTCCTGCCCCAGCAAGGCAGCTGAGTAAGGCAGACCCATCCAGGAAGGGTGGCCTAACCACCAGCTTTAGGGGCTCCTTCATTCAGCTGGATTTTGGAACAGCTCCTCCTCTGCAAGGAGAAACCAAAATTCATTTTCTCCTTGTGAGTAGAAAGACATTTCTAATTTAGTACAAATTCACAGGGAAGTAGGAGCAGCAATTCTGCATCTTGTATGGTAGTTTCGTTTATCTATATAATAGGCATCAGATTAATGAGTTCAGCTTCTGAGTGACTTCTTAAATAAATAAATTATCATGTCTTTTCATGATAAGTCGAAAAATATTCAATTGCTTATCTACCTAGAGTGTTTTCTGGTTCTGTAACAAATTCCTTCTGGCATGTAAGCATTCATCATTAGCCATATTTTTAAGTTACTTCTTATTTTTTTCAGGATTTAAAACTAATGTTAAACTTATATTTTTGCATTTTGAGAAATATTAAACTATACTTAGATTCAAAAGCACTCTTCATTTAATTAGAATATTTTATTACATTATCAATTTTAAAAACCCTTAGTGATAAAAAAGTTCATAGATTTATGTATTTTGAAAGTTTTTTTAATTTTAGAGTAAAAATTTTGTGCCACAGTAGTCTCTTCTCCAGAAAGGAGTGCTTGTAAGGGGGTATCAGCACATTTTTTTCTCAAAAGGACCATTTCAACACTTGACACCTTAAACATGGCTGTGATACAATCGTCATCAAATCAATTCATGCTCCCTTATGACAGAAATAGCAAAAAGGCAGTGATGCTGAACTGATGCCTGCCTGCCATATCTGCCAGCAAACACTGTATGTTTGCACAGGTTTGTTTGTTTTCCAAGGGCTAGCAATGTGTAGGAGGATCAGGATTAGTCCTTATCAGTTTTTTGACTCATACACTTGACAACATCCTTTTGGAGACTGATATGCCTTTCTCCTCATATGTAGCTACTGCAGCACAAATGCTTCTGGTGCTGCAAGCTGATTCTCAGGTGCACATGCTTGGGTAAGGCACCCGTCACCATGGTATCAGGTTCCAGCAAAATGAAAAGAAAAGCAAAGTTACTGGGTTTTTTTTTACAGAAGACAGGATAAATGGAATATAAGCATTTGCACAGCCAGGAATAACTCTGGAGGACTCATAATCCTGTGTGCAGTAAAAAAAAAAAAAAAAAAAAAAAAAAAAAAAAGAGCAAGATTTGTGTTGTTTCAAACACTGTTTAACATCCTTAGCTCTTGGACTTACTGTCTAGAATGATGAAATTCCACCCATCAGTCAAGATAATGGGAGCAGAAGTCTCTTCAAACCAGACTTCTCAAGAGAAAGACTGCTGGATTTGGCACCCACACACATCACACTGAAAAGATGTAATCTGAAATCCCAGCTTGTAACCCTGTTGCTCAATTGGTCCTCAGAGCCTTGTTTCCCATGCCCTGCCTTGGCCTCTATTTTTCTTGCCGCTGACTTGGGAGTTTTCATTTGTGCCATATCCCAGAAATAAGCACAACCAGTCTACTCATAGCCTGTCAGAGTCATCTGTTAATATTCCTCCTGAAGTCTGCCTGGAGAGCAGAATGCTCATTAAACAATTTTTCACACACTGATGATCTTTTTCTTCTTGTACCTTTTCTTTTCTTTAACAATAGCTTTCTGAAAAAGAGATGGGTTTGAAAGTTAGTGCAACTAGTGAATAATATGAGTAAGTCAATAGGAAAGTAAAGATTTTTTTAAAATGCAGATTATTGATTTTTGGAATTGTAGGGGCTCCTTCAAAGTCATTAAGAGTTTGTCATGTCAATATGTTAGTAAGGACTTCTATAAATGAAGATTAATGATGCTAGGGATAATTAGGGCTGAAAAAAAATCACGTTTCTCAGTATTTGGAAACTCCATGCAAAGGGAAACAGCATTAAGTTCTCCTTCAGTGTACCTTAGCTCCATTTTTGCCATGAGAGCAGGGGGAAGATTTTCTATGACACAATGGGAATTCAAACTCCTAGTACCTTTACAAATCAATGGTAATTGAGCTGCATAACTCTAAGTTTTGCTTTTTTAAAAAATCCCCAGTATAGTAAGTGCAGCTGATTTACTAAATCCACAAGCCAAAATATTTCTGAATATATTTTCTTTCCAAAAGAAATTGAACAGGTAAAGTAGCTGCTTTTCCAAATTAAATACTCAAGTCATGCTTCTCGTTATTATTTTTTCCTGCAAAACTTCATATATTTTGTTAAAGGCATGAAAAGATACAAATGAAAGAAAAAGGAGATTTTTGTTAGCTTGTAGGAATATAAAGACCCTACAGCTAATAATCTCATTTTTAAGGGAGGGCATGCACTTTTTTATCTAAAAAAAATTAAATTAAATATTCCTTAAGTTATCTCTGCGCTAAGGCTGAGGTTTAAACAACAAACACTGTCCAGATAATCAATGTATAGTTCTGCTGGAGTTCCTCTCACACAGCAAAGCTACAATTGGTGGTGGATTTTTTTTTTCTCAATTATGAAGCACTAAATCCCAAAATAGTCCTTATGTTTATAATTTGTTTCTATATAATCCATGGTTATAGGTTTTATTCATCAGTTTTCCAGAAAGTACAGTAAGCATACTTTGGCAAAGTTTGAATTCCACAGAAGCAAACACAGCTTGACCAGCCCTTGCACATGGAATCAAAATGGTCTGGATATCGGCTTTTTGTATGTTTAAAGAGAAATAATCAAAGCAAAAGAATTCTGAATGCAGGCTAGGATATCTTGGCTCTTTTCCGATAGACAGCTAAACTGGGAAGCCACAGCAGAAATCTGTATTTTGGTTTGGAGGGGGAACAAGGCTGAGGAAAGGGTATCAGCACAGCTCTTCTCTGGCATGACACCCACCTGGTGGCCTGCTGGATCACATCAGATTCTGTATTGTCTGCAGTCAAATTGCAACTTCTATAACACTTTGCATAAGTGTCTCTGCATCCTCAAGTCCTTAATCAGAGGGTCATTTTGAAGAAAGGTATCTTCAACAACAGAAAAATATCTAGCGGCTTGATATATAAAAATACTTGCTCATGAAATCCTATCATCAGAGTGAACATCATAAAATATACATGGAACCAGAGAAATTAACTAACTGGGGTTTTTTTTAATCCTTCCTCTGGGTTTAATTCCTTAGCTTGTGGTAATGTTCGTGTCCCACCCTTGTTTTATCCCGGATGTTAGAGCTTATTCTGATCTCTTATAAACAGATAAACAGCCAACAGACATTATATGATGATGAGAAATGGAGTTCAAAATCCTGTTATCCTGCAGATCACATTTCAAGTCCTATTAGCCTATAAGAAGACATTTGTTTATGAATCTGGAAAGCTTGTTTCTTGTGTTAGGGTTAACAGAAAAACACATGCAAAAGAAAGACCTTTTTACACAATTAAATAATCCATCACAGCTTGTGCTGGTAGGAATACATACATATTAAGGGCTGGAATGACCAAGAGGAAACAAATCTCACATTGTCACAAAAAGTTCCTGCTCAGGTGTTAGGAGCAAAGCATAGAAACCAGAAAATACTGCAAAGTGGCAGTATTTTTTCTATGATGAAACAATCCCATTCAATACACATTATCCATGAAGTTAATCTTGGTAGATAACTGCGCGCAGAAGCATCATATAAGCTACTAAAATTGTTTCTTTCCAGGAATTCATTTGCATCATATATATCTGCTGATAACTATTTTTATGACACAAGATGTACTCACTATTTTTTTTCTTATTTTATTACTCTTTTTTAGCATTTAATGAAATGCTAATTCACTGATTAGTGAACCAGTATCAGGAGACATAAATATGCACAAGGAGGAAAGGTAGCACAGCCCAGACCCTTCTGAATTTGTTGGTGGAGGCCACAGACACAATATGATAGAACAGAACAGAAGAATTTCTTACCTTTATGATGATTTGCCCCAGATGCTAATTTCCCCCACAGTGTTACAACAAATATTATTATTAGCAGTTTTCCTTTTGTTGCTTTCTGTAAGTATCTCTTATTCATCCTGAAAATAAAAATACACAAAATTAAATATTTATCTTAAGATTTCTTAAAAATACTTATTTTTCTTAATTTAAGGAGAATTGACTAATGTTTTATAAGTGTCCAACTCTTAAAGTCTTAAATTCTGCTGAGCTCTAAATGAGGTACATAAAGTAGCAACATAACCTCCCACCCTGGTCTGACAGCACTCCTCCACCCTAGTCAGTACCAGGAGAATTCAGCATCATCATAATTTCTCTCAGGGCACAAACAGTGTTCATACCCACAGCAGACTCCAAAGCTGGCAAGAAGGATGAACCTGTGCATCTCTGAGCAGATCTTGACAAACTGAGCAGTTCCACGGCTGTGTCTGCAGCCAGTCATGGCCCTGCAGTTGTCTCTGGTGATACAGTGGTGTTTCTAACTTTTGGGATTGTAGCTGTTTGTGGATTGTGCAACGAGTCCTAAGGCAGTAACAGATCTGAATAGACCTTCAGTTCATGTCTCAATCCTTCTGCAGAGAAATCCTGCTAGGAAGACCTGAGGGGTTTGTAAACATGAAGTAGAGCAGGGCAGATTCACTACCCTCTCCCTCACTACCTCTGGGTAATGAAAAGATCTGATTTACTGCACCAAGGGAAATTGCACAGAGCTCCCCTCATCTTCTCAGTGATGTTTTCACTGTGACAGCAAGCCACCAGAGTGGTTCACGCACAAGACATCACATGACTTATTTCTCAGTAACCTCCTCCAAAGACAAAATACCCCTCCACCTGCCAAAAAGACAAGTTCAGGCGTGTAGGCTCTAGTGCTTAAGGATTACAGCTGTGCAGAGAGTGGCAAGAGGTACAGTAATGAGTCCTTCTCTCACTTCTTCCCTGTGGAAGAAACCTATGAGCTGGCTATGGAACAGCTCTATACCATGGTCATGTGTCTGCTGATAGGTCAGTAGAACAATGATAACTATTTCAAACCATTTATACTAGAAAAGTTGAAAACTTGATCACTTGAACAAAATTGTTGCTGTATTGTAATGCCTACAAATAGATTGTTTTTATGAGCAGAAAAAAACGCATTAATTCATTATGGTTGCACATTTGTCTCCTATTGTATTCCTAAGAAACCCAAAGGAATTCAAGGGCATCTCTTCTCCTCTGCCTGTGTACAGTGCTGTCTTGAGCAACCAGAACTCTGAAATGCCGACTGCTCTAATACAGATTTAACCAGTAATATATTGAAAGTCCTAAATCATTTTCCACTTCTTCAAAACAATTGCTCTCCTTTCAGTAAATTTCTTTCCCATATAACACCACATGCTGATGAGGCAACACACACCACACAACTGCACTTATATCTTCCAGACTTGAAAGCAGACCACTTCCCCCAGAACTGCCAATCTTGCTCTCCAGGAGACTGATGAGCAGGCTATGTGTAAGAAAACAAGACTGAAACTAACAACCCACTGAAGGGTGCACCAAACCCTTTTAAACATTAATTCAGAGCAAACAGCATTCAGGATTCTTTACAGAAGTCACACATTTTTTATTAGTTTCCCAGAGGTTTAGATATCACATTTATCAAGCAAAAGGAGAGAGGAGTAAGCAAGTGCTGTAGCCAGGATGGTGCACGTGCCCCTGAAAGCCTGACTGATTAATAATCACAGCAGAGATCACAGTGTGCTGTGAACCACTCTAAGGTCTTCCTTCTTGCCCTGATTCCAGTGCCTTTGGAGTATAAACTGCATATTCATCATCAGCTCCAGGTTTATGAAGCACTCAAAGCTAAAGGGAAATACATTATGTGTCACTGTAAATAAGAACAAAAAAATGAGACTAGAATGCACATTCAGCATATGCTCTTTCACAGCTATCTCTGTGAAAAGAATATGAATTAACTCTTTCACTCTAGATTCTCATACTGCACCTGTTATGCTGCTGGTGCAAGTCATCTCTCATTAAAATCAAATCTTTCTTCCTCACCTACATAACATTTCTCAAAACCTAGTGGGACTTGCACCATTAAAGCAAGGTTGAATCTAATACAGTTTCTTCCTGTATTCTGCTGATGCCAGATTCCCTCACTGCACTGTGAGACTGGCAGCAAATGCACATCAGAAAATGCAAATGCTCAGGAAAAAGAGTGATGGCAGGGGAAAGAGAGAAAACCAACCTCTCTGCCTGAGAACAGCAGCCCTCAGAATGCATGGCAGAGTGAAGGTGCAAACCCCTGCACACAGCTGAGCACAACAAAAAGGAGTAAGCTAGCACTGAGTGAGACTGTTTTCTGCAAAGCCAGGGAAGAGTTTCAGCTTTGACACAGAAAATCTGGGCTCATTGCCATTGCTAGGTTTCCCAATCATGAGAAAAATTATTCATCATTTTCTGCACCACAAGACTATTACATTTTTCTGCACTAGTTATTAGTGGTATTCATCTTTAGGAAGACTAAAATCTGAACTGTGTCTAATAATAGTTTCATAATAAACATAATTAACAGAAAAATCAGTGCAAGGAGCAGTTTGGGACTAATAGTTCAGAGGCACCAGAAGAACTACAGAAAAAACTCCAACCAGTTAAAGTATTCATAACATAGAGCTGTTCAAATAGAAAAAGTTGGAAGATGATGTTAACCTTCAAAGTAATTATGTTATGCAACCCTAGACCCAGACCTGGGATTGTTGCATTGTCACTCCCAGTGGTCAGTCCAAGGACAGGCAAGAGGCTGCATAAGCACAAACAAGATGTGAAGCTCTCTGCTAGGAGAAGTCCTGCTACACACAAGGACCACATTGTAGCAACACAGCCCTAGAAACAAAAAATGAAGGGTTTATAGTCCAAGAAGCTGAGATTGGAATGGAGGCACATTATTGACAGAGTCAGGAGCTGGAAAAGAAGGAGAGGACAGAGAGGCCATGAGATATGCTCAGTATCTCACTGCATGCATTATCACCTGGGCTCTGAAACCCTGATGCTGGCTATCTTGTTATGGATTTGCAAAACAGCCCATGATAGGGCACTGAGAAGACACTGGGACTAGGTAGCATTTGACCTCAGCTCTGAAATAACTATTAGCCTCTTGCAACCCTGATCTGTGTCGGGTAAGCGCATCCAGGAAATAAAACTGAGTCCATTTCAGTACTGTCATTACACTAACAAAACTGGCTGTGATAAGTAGGACAAATTAGCTCTGAAATTATGTCTGCTTTTACTAGAGGTGATGCAGAGCTCCACAGACAAACTACAGATATTAACCAGAATAGTTTTCTTTTTGCAACATTTATTCTTTTATTTACTTTCTTTTCTTCAGAACCTCTCCCTCAATGTGATCCATCCAGCCTTCAATAATGACACATAAGCCAAAGCCGATCAAAACAGAGAATAGCCATACTATAGGAAACACCTACATGTGAAAATCAATTTTACACATGAGCTTTATGTGTAACAAAGAATTTCCTTCAGTTTCTAACCTAACATATTGGAAATAAACCCAAGGAATTCTCTGCACTTTCACACAAAAGAGGGCATGAAAGTCTGCCGTGTTTGAGTTCATTTTTCAATGTGCTTTGAAGCAAGAAAAAAGAAAGATAGCTCCTTTTGTGGTTCAGGAACACATTCAAAATATAACAAAAAGATGTCACCCACATAATCCAAACAGGCAGTGGCTGAGTGTGAGATGGCTCTGTTGTGCCCAGCTCTTCACTGACACGACAACACAAGGATTCCTTCATAGGATTTGTCACTTTTGCTCCCTAAGATTTCTTTTGCCTGAAGCACACTCCATGAGACCAAAACCAGTTTGGTATCATGAACTCAAGAATAGACTGTTTTAGTGATTAGTGACAAAAAACTGCAAGGTTTTTTCCTAGGGAGAAACCATATATGATGCTGCAGAAGAGTTTCACAAGCTGTCACATCAGCAGAAATCCCTCCCCCTGCCCTCTGTGGCTCAACAGCAAACTGTGAATACACTCGTGTTGCACAGGCTCTCCTTGTCACTGCTCCACCTCACTGTCAGCCCACTTTCAACAGCAGATGGGCTCCAACCATTCAGCTGTACTGAAAATGCCATGCACACATGTGTATTTTAACTGTAGCATCCATAAGCTTTTGTGTTTGTACTTTCTTCCTTCTTTGTTTCTGGACTTGCTTTCAGCCACCTTGTCAACAATTCAGAATTAAAGGAGAATCACTTGGGAATTACCTTATATTGTATGACCAGTGTTAAACTGCCTTACTTTCTGATTTTAGGTGAAGTAAAAACTCATGTTTTCTCTATTGTTGTGGAGTGAAAACTAAAAGGAAAAAATAGCTTTTATTCTTCCTTTAAAAGCTTATACACAAATAACATTTTCATGTTTCCTACGAGTAACAACATTCTTCTCTGTTGCTCCTTGTTTTTCTTTTCTTTACATAAAACAGGTTCTCAAAACAACTCTCACAGTTTTTTTGAAGTTGTTCAAAATTCATTCATTCCTGTTTTACATATGTGGGAAGTTTCACTGTCAGTGAGATCCATTTGCCTTTTGCAAATACACAGACCCTGTGAATGCAAGGGTTCACAAAAAGATACATAAGCCTATTTTTCTACTGAATCCTGACAAAATGCTTAATAGACAAAAAACCTGGTAGAAAATTAGTGCCACATCCTCTTAGTTTAGTTTTTATGACAAATATTTTATTTGCTACTTCAGAAAAAGCCTAAATGAGTAGTAGAAATCACTTGAGACCTCAAGTCTCTAAAGAAATAATGCCATTTAAATTATCTTCTCTACTGTGTTGAATTGTACATTATTTATTAGTTCTGTTAGTTGCTACATCCCACACAATGCAGGTATTTGCAGTTTTATTCAGCCTTTCCAGTGTAGACTAATGCAGATTTAAAAATGCCCCCCTGGTGAATAAGGTCGCTCTGTAAAAATAACACCAATGTGACCCCTGTGCATTTGCATATATATAAATTCCCTCTATGACATTCCTGTCATGTTTGCTCAGGCAACAAGTAATTTGCCACTTTCATTACTTC